GATGCTTGACTGCCACCTAGTGGATATTTGGTGTAACTATATCTTATTTGGTATACTTTCTTCTCATTGGTTGACCAGTCATTGCTGAATCTTGAACAAAATCACTAAGGGTACGTCAGTCATGGAGTGATTGACTTTAAATTATTTGTAACCTATTATCATTATAACTTATCTTTCGCTACAAGTGAATGTTTGTTTTACAGTATACTGCTGTTCACGGGATCTCAGTACCTAATGTCATTCTATAAGCTGCTAACCCCATGTTCTTGAAATGGCAATAAATCTTCTTGAATCTTGATTTTCAGTCCAGGGTTGGTACCGCTGATCCTGATCCTGATATTTAGTGCCGGCGGATCGATCATTCCATTTCCTTAGTGAATGAGCCCCTTTTCCTTTCTCTCCCCTTATGGGCAGCCCTGCCCAGTAGTAGTTCATGTCCTGCCCCCTATAATTATATAAACGTTTAAACTGCTAGGTAAGGAAATCAATATTTTAATGTTATAATTGATTCTCAAAATTAAAACATTGAGACCAAAAGAACTGAAATCCCAAATTCATAACGTTCTGGGCCCAAGCACGCGTTTTGTCATCACCAAGTGACTTATTTCCTAAAGAAAAGTGCTACCTCACAGCACAATAGAGTTCAAGATGAATGTCCTCATTTTGTGGCTTATCTGGAGTTTGGGCACGATGCTGCATGGCCCGCAACGATTTATCAAGTGCAATGCAGCGATTTTCATTTAATTGTGCTGCATGTATAAAGAGATACACCATATTTTACCAAATATTAAAAACAAATACAGTTTTTGTTTCGCCCCCAGTTGTGTCTGGATACTCTTGTCAAGGCTTGCACGCGACCTTCCAAAGTTTGGGAATACTTCAGTCGTGATGAAGACAGTGGTGACAATGAAATAGTGAGGAAAGAGGTAATTCTCTACTCTAGTGAGAATTGATTGCAGGAGATAACAGCCCCCTACAGTGGAAAATGCATAAAGGTTCCCGACTCTGGCTGTTCTGGCCAAATCTTACCTGTCTGTTCCTGCAACCTCAAGCCCGTCTGAGCGCCTCTTATCAGCAACTGGGAACATTGTCACAAAAAAAGAGCAAGTCTAACTGTGCAGATCATGTAGACATGCTTACATCCCCTCACTGTAATACCTGTAGGCCTAATGCCTAAATGTCTCTTCATGTTACTGTTATTTGTTATTTTTTCCCCTAGTAATGATATGAATGTTGCAAATATTGAAGCAGCCAGACTCCTGCATCAGGCTGCAAGGTTACGGAGGGGGGAGTCTGCCTCTAGCCAGCCAAATTATTCCTCTGTTCAACCTGTGCGTACCTTTAATCACACTCAACCAGAAGACGCTATTCAGAGAAACTTGGTGAGGCTCTTTCAGCCATATGACCGTGCAAGGGGGCAACGTTNAACCAGAAGACGCTATTCAGAGAAACTTGGTGAGGCACTTTCAGCTATATGGCCGTGCAAGGGGGCAACGTTTTTCATCTCAAAAACCCAGGAAGAGGCCAAGCATGGCAGAGACTTGGACCCACACCTTCTGTTGCCTTGCGGACAAAGATGAAGATCATGTACCTCCAAGAGAAGGCAGCTTGGCTCTACAAAACATTTCTCTGGGAAGGAAAAGAATAACTTTTCCAGATAAAAATGGAACAAATGAAGACCTCTGTGAGACTTTGCATTCTTTTTATGCACCGCTGATGGATGCAGGAGGATTCCAACTTTTGAGGGGTTTCAGGAGCAAAGCCCTGCAGTCCACACCCACACCCACACCCACACCCATACCCACACCCATACCCACACCCACCAGTGGGTTAGGGTTAAGTGGACTGAACCAGGCTGTGTTCAGGCTGTGTTCAGAGTCAGGCCACTACAGACTAGTATACCTATGATACAGTTAAAGGATTCAGATAAGGTTAATTTTCAATAACTTATCTGTAATATTAATTTCATGTCTATCTCTGTGTGTAATAGACAAATTAATTGTGATTGGTGTCTTTACATTTGATCCACAAATAGAAGTAGCACTTTCAATATCACATTTGTACTCAATTTTACAAATATGACAAATGTTAATCTGTTTCAGGTAGAGGCAATAGCTATGGAAAAGTACAAAACATGTGAGACGGAAATCCCATTGCAGGACCTTGCACAACACATTCAATATTGCACAAAGTAAAATGCCAAATACAGAATCATTGGAGGACCTTAAAGGCTAGTTTTGCTAGAAGCCTCTTTATGTCATCACTAACATGAACATCTTCTTTAACCATTTTTAGTATACATTTTAAATAATTTATCTAGTTTACACATTCTTGGTGTGATATCCTTTGTAACACATTATGAAAATGTATAATGTGTAATGTAAATGTATAGCTGTTTTTTATTCCGGACTCATTATATTTGCTGTTTATGCAGTGTTCTCATTATTTTGGCAAGTTATATTTGTGTGTGCAAGTCTGTGTCGCAGTAATTATCTAATCATTTTCTAAATTCCCATAGGGCACAGCCTGTGAGCAGCTTCAACTTGAAAGTCCTCTCTTCACCAGCAGAGGACTGTGAATGAACCAGTGGCAGGTCCTAGTCGGTGCCCGTCTCAGTCACTAATCCCAGCATCCACATCCACTGCGGTCCTCGGTCAACCAGCTGTGCCTACATACAGGTATGATCCTAAAACATTATGACCACTGTCAAAAATTGCATTTTGAAATTAAATATTAGTAAGGGATTACAATATTGTTAATGATGTGTAAATGTATTTGAATAATAGGTGGAAAAATGTTAATTGGCAGGGACTATGTTGATCTAATTTGCCCTGATGTTTGGAGTGACTCAGACAATGAAGACCCTAAAAGAGCAATAGAAGAGTCCTTGAAGGACCATCCCTGCATAAAGTGAGAGCAGTATTCCTCATATAGTCCTAATAATCAGATTTTTAAAATTTGTGTTCACAAAAGGTGAATAGTTCATATCATGGAATTTGTCACGCCCACGTGGGCAGGACGTAGCAGCAGTAGGCCATCTCCATTGATTAGCTCTGCTTCTTAAGCGGACGACACGCAACACACATTGTGAAGTATTCTTGCCATGGTTTGGAGCCTTACTGAGTGTTCATTTGTCTCTTGTCTTTCCCGCTTGCCCTGCCTACTGCGTCCTGCTTGCTTGTCTCACCTCCCCTGCCTGCCTGCCTGCCCTCTCTGTCCTGTGCTCCTGACCCATCTCCGTCGATCCTCCTTCCCCTTCGTCGTCTCGTCCCATGCCTGCCCGTAGGACTGACTTCCCCGCCTTTAGACTTCCTGCACCTGTCCCGACTACTATTGTGGATTTCTGATTTGGCTTTGTCTGCACCCGGCAAACTAATAAAGACCCAAGTCTCCCGCCATATGAGGTCTGCCTCCTGTCTGCTCTCCAGTCCTCACAGAATTACTATTTAAATTACAGTGAATGTAAAGTAGTCCACTGTCAAGTTTTTGCAAGGCTTCATTTTCTTATTCTTTGCATTTTTTTCTTTGCAATTAATGTTGCTCATTCTGCTATGTTAATGTACCATTTTCAATTCAACAAATTATATTAAAACAATCAACATTTCTACCATAGACTTAGGACAGACTTTTAAGACATTACAGAGAAGTAAACAACTTGGCACATACCTGCCTCTATGTATAGGCTTTACACCCATCAATTTCTCTTTTGTTCCATTCATCCGTACTTGTTTCTTTCCTTCCTTTCGTGTCCTCTCTTACTCTGCCACACTCAAAAACACGACCACACTCTCATCCCATTACTAAACCCTGAAATTTTTCTTTTTTTTTAGTTTTTTACAGGACATTCTTTCACTGAGGAAAGACATTAACACGGATGAAGTTGTTCGATTTAACATAAACCACAAAAATGTCTGGAGCTGATAATTTCATTGACACTGCGCTGGTCCACCAGTGGAGTCTGCCAAGCACTCCTGTACAGACGCAGCTGGTGGCTCACGCTCTGGATGGACGTCGAGTGGCTACCATCACCAGTGCTATACTTCCAGTGTGTCTTGCCCTTGGGGGTAATCTTGTGGAGGAGATGTCCTTGAATGCTATTGACTTATCCCAAGCACCTATAGTGTACTGGTTACTTAAGCATAATCCTCACCTCGACTGGAAGAAGGGATCCGTTGTGGATCCCTGCTCAGTGTCTCCGCACAGCTTTCCCTTCAGTGGTCCCTGAAGAGGAGGAGGAATTTCCTGACCTGTCTTCGAATCCTGCAGACTACCTGGACCTGAAACAGATATTCCGTAAGTCCCAGGCATCCTCTCTACCTCCACATCGCCCTTCCGACCGCGCTATTGGTCTTTTTCCTGGCACCTCGCCCCCTAGAGGCCGTCAGTACTCCCTGTCTGTCCCTGAAAGGAAAGCAATGGAGGAGTACATAAGTAATGCTCTATCATCGGGTATTATTCGGCCGTCATCTTCTCCAGCAGGAGCTGGATTCTTCTTTGTGGAGAAGGAGGACGGGTCACTCCGGCCTTGTTTTGACTACCGCGGGCTGAACCAGATCACGGTCAAGAATCGTTATCCCCTACCCTTGTTGTCCTCGGTTCTTGATGTACAAATCGTGTTGAATCACATTGCATCATAATAGGGATGCTTCACATATTATACTGCATTAGTAGCTGCTTCATAATGTATCTTTTGAAACATGAGACCCCAGGTTCTGGAGTAACTAAATTGAAGCCAAGCCTGAATCTGAGAATCTTTGAGAATCAATAATTTTGTAGCTGTTAAACAATGGTGTCAGTTGGTATTGAACAGCTATTTATCAATCTATTTGTCTGTCATTCAAATTGATTAACCATTTTTCAGTTAGTCCTATAAAATCATCCAATGGAGAAGAAAACAACCACTCAGTAATGACTTAATGGAATAAAATCTCCTGTTCTGCTGAAAAGCAGATGACAGATCACACAAAAACATACAAGTATATAATAAAGTAGACAAAGGATGAATTTTTGTTTTCCTTTTTATTGCATAAAACTCAAGATCAACACATATCAAGAACTACAATGTCAAATAAACATTACAAAGTAAAATAAACTTACACAAAAGGCAAGTTTTTTAAAAATTTTTTATATAGTTTCTCAGTTGCTTTGGCACGTTTCTCAAATGACTATTAACATTTGCAAAGCAATGAAGGTAAGCCCTACACAATGAAGACACTTGCGTGTAACAGAACATAACTTCTCTTTGCTTCCAACGAATTTCAAATGTTTTAATATGCATATCACTATATGCAATTGTCATCATTTTAAACCCATGACAATATATGCGTCATCATATAAACCACGTACCACATGTGTCACGTTCATGTCCAGGGAGGAGACGAGGATCAGCAAAGTAAGGGGTTTTAATGGGGTTTAAAACAACAAAAGGGAGCAGACCAGGGAATGACAGGGAAAACTAAGCTCAAGACATAAACTAACATTAATGATAAGTCTGGCAAGTAAAGGTAGGACACGGACTTAAATACTAAGAAACTAATTAAGAAACACAAAACAGCTTGAGAGAAGCACAGATTCCACACATGGGTAATTAGGAGCGTGGCACACATGAGGAATGCAGGGCTGGGTGTGACAACATGCAAAACAGTTCACAAATTTTTCAGAATGATGCAATAATATATTGTAGTGATATTTTTATTTTCTTGTTTTTGTGTTGTGATTTTTCATTTATTTGGTGGGAATGGACTCTATTGGGAGTTTACTTTCATTGATGAAGCTAGCTTCAACTTTACAAAGACCAGGAGCAGGGGAAGGAACATCACTGGTCACAAAGCCATTGTTGATGTTCCTGGCCAACATGGTGGCAAGATTACAATGCATATCGCCATCACACAGAATGGTCTCTTCCTCCAACATCCCATCTTTAGACTACGTACAACACAGCCTACATACTTGCATTTTCAGACAGACTGCACAACACTCGTATACGCAGAGCTGCACAAATAGTTTGGAACAATGTCAGCTTCCAGCAGCCCTGGTCCTAAAATGGTCTCACAATTTCTTATAAAATCTCTTCATCCCTTCTCTTCATTTCTCTATCCTACTGAAGAGGTTTTTCTGGTGTGGTGATGGAGGGTGTGTGATTGGCAGCCCTATATGCGGATGCCTGTTCAGCAGGCAATGGAAGAGGCACGTGGCACAGAAGGAGTTTCTTCCCACGCTGTAGAGTTGATGAGGATGTTGCCTGTGATGTAAATGAAGAGCTCTGGCCAGATCTAGCTAAAGGTCTTGACATGCAGCCTAAGATTTTTTATTTTATCTCAGTAAGGTTCTTTTTTCTATATGTGATGTTTTCTATTCACTCTGTTCCATAGACTGCACATTTTTGCTTTACACTCTTGTACATTATATGTGCCGTTCATGTGTTGTGCAGATTTGTTATGAGGGAAAATGGAATGTTTTTGTTTCAACAGTATATTTCTGGTTTCTGCACATATTTCTTTTGATTTGATCAATCTGTCCCAGCAGAAGTCTCTACATACACAACTACATCCCACAATTATGATATTTGATTTTACTAAGTGTTTATGTAATTTGAAGAGTGATTTGTTTGGCAGGATATATGAGGTGTCTTTGGGTGGGTGATTTTGTGAATTGTGTTAAGTGTTTTGAAAAAATGAGCCCTTTTTCAAAAATGTGTGTTAACAATTAAAAAAAATGTGATGCACTTACAGTTGTGAGAATTATAAGTCGGTGAGTTTGGGGAGCACACACCACGAAACACCTTGAGATCCCAGTTGGCAACCCCCCAGGCCAACACATGGTACAGTCCCACCCTCCAGAATTGGCCATGTGTTACCTGAGCATCCCCTTGGCCTGGTCCAACTGCTGGGGTCCTCAGCAATGAGGATCCTGCGAGCCGGATCACCCTCAGGGAGTTGCTCCACATGGCCGAAATGCCGTAACTGACGCTCCCTCACAATGCAGGTAATGTGCTTCATTCAGTACTGCCTGAATTACATTAAATTTGTTTCATGAAATGTGCCAAAGCAATTAAGACTGTAAAAAAACAACTGCAATTTGGTAAGCACGTCAAATGTGTTCATATTATTCTTTTAGTCCCACTGTTTTGCAAATATTATCCTGTTATGCAACAGTTGTTATGACATCATTGAAATTTATGAGAGGAGTATTACATATAAAGATGCATGATTTAACAGTCAAAAGTTTGAGTACCTGGGGCCTGTACTACGAAGTGGGGTTACTGGCTTAAATCTGACAAGTTCCCCCGATAAGCCAGTAACCCTGCATGCTTCGTAGTACAGGCCACAGGCGTGTTTTGGTTTGCTGAAGAATGAAGAATTAAATAATTACAGAGGAATTACAGAAGATAAATCAGAATGAAGCAATACACAATTTATCAAAAAATACTTATTTTGAATGATACTGTATATAAATATATGTACATATAGGGATGGGCCGATCCACATTTTTTCAGTTCCGATCTGATTCCAATGCACAATCAATACCAATACATATTCCCATACAAGAGCTCTTTTTACTTTAATATCTTAATAAAATAAATATACATAATATATCTATACATTATATAGTATTAATATTTTTTAACTAGTAAATACACATGAAAAAATGTAAGCCAAAAAATCTTTAATTAGGCTACTAGAAACTGTTCCTCCTCATTTGTACATCTCGTAGTACGCGTTTTTGAGGCATTTGCAGTTCAATTTGAGTATCTTCCAAGTGAGGATATGCAAGTGGTGGAGGCTTAAAATGCCCCACAATTTGTCTCCGACTGGCAACATTGTCACTTATGCTGCATTGAAGTCCTACTCGGAAGATCCGACTAGGAAGCTGGAAAATCATAATTACAACATGACATGTTCAAGTGGTTAAGTCGGAGCAAAATGGAAGCGATTAAAAAGCCACGTTTTGTTTTGCTGTATTTTTTTTTCCATTTCTCCAACACCAAGCAGGTAGCATGACCAGCTATATATCAGACAAAAAGCTCTGTTTTTTCACAGTAAAACGATTTCTTAACCATCTCCTCAACATTCAGATTTTACTTCATTCAATTCATTCAATTTGGAGTTCTGCAATGACACCTTATGTAAATTTTTCTACTTTCAAAATAATTGACATTATCATATTTAGGTTATCAATTTATAAATGTAAAAATGAATGTACTTTTGATACCAAAAAATTTGTCTTACAACCACAAACCCAGTAGATGGTTGTACCGAGCCTGGAGCCGATCAGAATACCATCAGAGAATGCCAGTCCGTTACAGGATACCCTGCATTCATTTAATTGGACCCATCTACACTCAGTGACAAAAAAAGTTCAGCACCCAGAATTAACGGTCCAATTTGCATGTAATTTGGTACACGTGCATATTGCCCGATGTTGGAACCAATGGGCATGTGATGGCAACCACACACATCGTGAAGGTTCTGGTTGCCCAAGACAGACCACACCAAGGGAGGATTGTCATATCGTGCGTCCAGCATTACAGAACCCCATGACATCTGCGTCTGCCATCCGGACACAGGTACTGGACTCTCTACAGCAGTGCCACACCCCACTGACTTGGCACCAGAAGTGTGCACACACTGCCAACTCTGTTTTTCATTTGATCCGATATTATAACTATCGCGATACAGTCACATGACCTTTCACCACATGCAGATTCATTTCATTTCCACCGCTCTGTCTGGGTGCTTAACTTTTTTGTCACTGAGTATGTATATCATAGGCTGACACCGAACGCAATTTGCAATGATTTTTCTGTATTATCTCTTTTCTGTATTTGACATACAGAAAAGAGAAATGTTTCTGCCTCACTTTCTCAATTACTCATTGGTTTTGGTCACTTTAACGTAAATACAGTATGACTTTGTACCAATAATATGAAACTAGCTGCTTGTGTTATTCACCAAATTAGGCCAGCAATTAAATTTCTCCCATTTGTGAAAAGTTACCTATATGAGTAAATGCTAAATGAGCAATACAGACACCCCCATCCAGCCAGCACAACTGGAGAGAGCTAAAGTAATGCAATGAGAAAGCAGTACATCAGTGGCTCATTATTCAGCTGATCCCTTTGGTTTTAAATTGGACATCAAGGCGCTTTAAATATCCATGTATTAAATAAATATATTGACAGAAATTTAGCTGAATATATATACTCACTTCATAATCGACACACAAACAATAATAGGGGGTTCCCTGGAGGACATTTCTGACCAGCATCATGGTCCCTCCAGAGCTGCTTTGTTCCTGATGCTCCTTCGCAGGTAGCGTATTGCAGACAGTGCACTGATGTTAGCTAGGAGAGCTGCATTCCACACGAAAAAGCGTCAGTAGTTTAATCATCACCATTTACAGTCTACTGACTTTCTAACTAAAGCAAAAATAACTTCCATTATACTCGACCACTGGCAATCATTTGCAAGCTGCTCAGCTTGCTGTTTTGAGTTCTTAATAAAAATTGCAATACAAAGCTTGCATCGTAAAATCATTTGTTGACTGAGATGCAGAATAATTACAATGTTGTTGCTAATGTTGTGCCTAGGCTCAAGTGGCTCAAGTGGGAGTATTACAGTTACATTAGAGTACACTGATGTATGGGAAACAATGATACAAAGTGCAATAAATACATAAACTAGTAACACAGTTGTTTATTATCATTACCAAGTATTATGTACTGTACATAATTTTATGTGCTATACTTTTGCACAACTAGCAGTGCAGTAAGTTTGTTTACACCAGCATCACCACAAACAATGCACTGCAGTGCAGCCTCACTAGGCAATAGGATTTTTTCAGCTCAGTTATAATCTTATGGGACCACTGTCATAAATAAAGTCTGCTGTTGGCTGAAGGGTCATTTTGCTGCTCATGACTGTAGAGATGTTGAAGAACAGGTACTTACCAGCTTTCCAAGTGTCACCTGCCTGAGGGCTGGCAGACCTTAGGACCCAGGAGGCGAAGGCAATGCAGATCATGCACAAGTCCGACTGCCTAAGAGGCAGGAAGCGGCTGTCCCTTCCTGAATGAAAGACATATAACACATATAAACCTCATCCATCTACATTTATTCAACCATATAATGATAAAGGTGACAGAACAATATAAATAGTACAATCATCTCCCTCTAACACGGTCAGGCAATGACCAGGAAATTATTTGGTATGATGTCACTGGTAGATGCCTTTTCTTCCTTTATATTTTGTTTATAATAATCAGTACATTGTTCAGGAAGATCGAGCAGTCTATACAGTTCTGCATGACTGATTGCCTTCTTTTTGCAGAGATTACATTGAAAGCTAAATTAGAGTACACAATGGTTCACATTAAAAGAAACAGACACAATGAAAAACTAAGGAAGTAAAAGACACGAAGAACATACATAATACATATTTTCCATAATACTGCTATTGGAATATGATGATCAGTTGTGCAACCATGGGACAAGATCCTTTTATATCCCACTTGCCCCATACAGGTATGTGTTCCTGTCACCCACAGCTTACCTCTCTGTGGGTCAGGAGACTTCCTGTTCTTACACTGTGATAAGATCAAGTTCAGCTGAAAAAGTTCCTGGATTGACTTCAGACACTTAAAAGTGGAGCAGAGCAACGAAAGGGCAAACCTACCAATCAAAAGGTTTTGGCAGTAGCCACGTAAGTAGACAGACACGAGCAGGGCATTAAAGGGACAGGAGAGCACACCACTGCACTGGGCACAGATGGTTGACTAATGGCAGTTAGGAGAGTTAAAGATCCTTTAAATCCCATGAGAATGAATCTATTTTTGCTCCTCCTCGCAAGCCAGCTATGCCAGTCATGTTTGGCACAGAGTTGAAGAAGGTGAATGAGGGAGGTCACGTAGTCACTAGCTCTTACATCAGTACACTCAAGCCTACTATGTTTGGTCTGCCTCTGAGTAACTGTCACTGTGCATATGGGGATCCATTCTCCCAGTCAGAAAAGCACATAGTCGCACACTTTTTTCACTTAAGCATATTCTCCCATCAACTTTAGTCTGGGGTTTTCACACGTTTAGGCTACATACACACTTTGGGCAGAGAAACACCAAAATATGGATGCGTCATATGTAAATGACCTTTACGCGCATTCTAACACTGACTTAAGTGCATTTGGGCAGAGGCATTAAGTCATGCCCCTCCATACAGCCAAATGCAGTTTTGCAGTTTTCAAAAAGCCAAACATGTAACAAAATTTAACTTTTTAATGTGTATCACACATATAGAAGCAAATGTTACAATGAAAAATGCATCTAAATAATTCGTATAATTATATAAGAATTATATAATGCAATACAATATAGAAACATATAAGTATATACAAAGTACATTACCATTAATGAGGATTTGTAACATCTGTCTTGTCAACATGCCTAGCAGCTGAATCAAATTAAATTAGAATTAAGTGATCAGTGGTCATTGTCAACACACCACAGCACACAGTGCACAACAACGAAATGTGACCTCTGCATTTGACCCATATGTGACTTTCGTGACATAGCAGGGGGCAGCTAATTCAGCACCCGGGGAGCAGTGCTTGGGGGTGGTACCTTGCTCAGGGTACCTCAGTGGTGACTTGCTGGTGGGGGATTCGAACCTGCAATCTTTCAATTACAAGTGCGCTACCCTAACCATCAAGCCACCACTGCCCAAATTAAAGGAAGTAGTGTATTTTAACAATCCTAAGCCACAGTGCATGTACTCGCACTCGTGAGAGAGTAGGACACACCAGGATGGTCTCGGCTTGATGTACTTCAACTGATCGACACTGAATGCATTGCATGTTTCTGGGTGGATTGTGAAACAGTCCATTCTGAACCAATACGGGACCGTACCGTCCACCCCAGCCCCTCATGTCTCCCCCCCCTTTGGCCATTAGGTGTCGCTGGCCATCCTGTCCTCCCCCCTGTCGCCCCCTAGTGTTTCCTTTGCCACCTGGACTGCTGCATGACTCAGTGGGCTGAGTACCTGCTGCCCGTCAGTCTGAGGCTGGCTTGACCAGTCTCCAGTCATTGGTGTTTAATGGTTTCCCTCATGTTTGCTGTGTTCCCCCTGGGTCCTGTTTATGTTTTTGTTACTTGTTACTTGTTCCCAATTTGTGGTTTGTGTTCTGTTTTGTTTTTTGCTTTGTGTCTTTCTGGTTTATGTATTCATTGTCTTTTATTATATTCCTAGTGTTAGGTTATGTTTGCCTGTTAGTCTCTTTCTGTTTCCTGTGCCTCTGTGCCTCATGATTGTTGATTGTTCTACCTGATTGCTCTTTGTCCATCACCCTCTCTGATTGATTAATTATTTAATTTTCAGTCTTGCTTCTTTGTTACCTGATTCAGTTTGTTCCTGTCTGTATTAATTTCATCAGTGGATCATTGAGTTAGAATGTGTGTGGTTTGTTACTCTGTGTTTGTTACTCTGTTCCCTTGCTCACTGCTGCCCTAATTGTTAAAATTAGCTTGACAACAAACTCACATTATATTATTGTCTATAACGTTGATTTTGACTCTGAATGGAACAGTCTAAGTTTTTTCCAGTGGCTGTAGTGCCAATCCTGCCACCAACTCCCAAATTTTCCCTGTAAGTTGGAGAACCTCCTTGCAGGGCTTGATGTCATCATACCCAGGATGAAGCGATTGCAGGTTAAGGGCCTAATGGAGTAGGATCTCTCCAGGCATTCACAGGATTCAAACCTTCCGATGTTGGCGTAGATCCCTAGCCTCAGATCCACCACTTCAAGGATTTTGAGATTATCACAGTAAAGAACACTAGACAAGGTTATAAATGTAAGAGCAGAATCAAGAATGTGAAGACCTATTGTTCTAACTCTCTTGAATATGACCATGTAAAATGCACATATTAAGGTTAACAAAGGAAAACAGTTATATCTATTTACAGCATGAGTATTATTATTCAATATTTAGGATCATAAAAGACTTACTTGGGTCAGTGAGTGTTGTGATAAGATTTACGTGCTGCTCCTGAAGTTCTATCATCTGTCTAAAGACCCAGGATTCCAGGTGGTAGGTGTGTGCTAAGCTGTGACTGTAAGCCTGCTGTTTTGGCGTCCTGGGGGGGCTTTTCTCATTGCACTCAGTGGTTCTGAGGGACCAGGAGCTGGGATTTTCCTTTGTACCGGTCAGTCCTGGGAGGCTCAATCGTCTTAGTGAGAATGGGTTTCTCCAGAACAGGTCTTCAGTCCAGGTGGTGTCTTCAAAAAATTCCTCATATATGTCAACTGACGTAGCAGTGTTCCCAGTCTTAAAACCACTGTGGTCAGAGTGTGTCACGACTCGCACTGGGGCTGTTTCAAAATCATCATCATCAGACATGACAGGGGAGTCATCTGGGGAGTGAAAATCATACTCTGTAGAAAATCGGAGTCTTCGTTTACTGGACCGTGATTGGGCGAAAATAGGGACAGGTTCATTTTGGCAATTATCTCTTTCGATCAGCGGAAGGAAAAAATTACCGGTCTCAAAGTCTGAAAAGAAATAATCATATGTCTCAGGTACTGAATTTCCATGACTGGGGGGGCTGCTTGACTCTTTGTTGTCTAGCTGTGTGGTCTCAGTTTCCTCTTCGTTGAAGAAATACTCAAATATTTCTGGAAAAGAGATATTGTTGTCTGTGAATAATCCCCTGCAGAATAAAGGTGGACGTGAAGAATCCTTGTGGCTTTCCATAGCGGTAGGGATAGAGCTTACACTGGAAACTGGTACAGCATCCTCCACGAGAGAATCATACTGACAAGCAGCTTTCAGCCCAAGTCCTACACCTGGCTCAACTTCCAGGGCTTGGAGGTTTTGCACGCTTATGTTTTTGCAGATTTTTCTAAGGCACCGCTGAGTACTGTTGAAGTTCAGGTGCTCATAGCCAGTTTTATAAGATTGTGTCCACATTTCATCTTCTAAGCCCATGTCAGGCCTTATACTTATGGGCTCTGGCTCACTGTCCCACAAAACTCCCTGTGTATTCTGACCCTGGTCCACAAAGTCTCTTAGTGCTGGACTGGAAGTTGCTCTGACATTGTGAGCAAGGGGCAACTCTTCCTCCATATCTGAAATGCTGGAGATATCCCCACTGGAGCTCTCAGGCTTGTAATCCCCCGGCTGAGTGAATATGCCGGAGTCCACAGGTTTCATCACAGTGCTGCCCCTCATGTGAGAGGATATGCTGGAGTGCTGGGCGTTACTTACCAATTTCAGATGCAGGATATCATTGATTGTTAGCTTCTCCATCTCGTCCCAGAAGGAAGAGATAGCATAGACAGGGCGTGTGGATTCCCTTTGTTCATGAACGACTGGTCCAGGTTCTGCCCCTGTTTCTGAAAACTGCACTTCCGGGCTACTGTCAGTATTGAGTTCAGAGTTGTCAGTAAGAGATATTCCTTTATATGTGTGGGCCTGAATATGATTACTGCTTTCAGTACTAAAGTCAGACATATCACCTAGACCCATATGTTCATTGGTGTCCGTTTGAACGTATTTGCTGCTTTCGATATCAGGAAGTACACGTGGGACACTCTTCTCATCTGATGTCTTTTTTAGGTCACCTGAACTTGTGTATGAATCTGAGCCCGCATAAACTGGATTATGTTCACGGATTTCATTGCTGAGCTCATCAGTAGCAGCTGTAATTTCATGGGTGTGTCTCTGAATGGTTATGCTGCCATATGGATCCAGATGTGCACAAGGAACATTTTTAATTTCTGACCCCTTAATATTGTCTAAGCTTTCACGTGGACTTGTGGATAAATCAGATTTGCAAAAAATACTTGATACTGTTGTCTCTGCATCAGTTTGACCATCTGCGCTTTGCTTGCTTTCTGTTTGAGGAAAATTCAACCGTTCTCCAGATTCAGGAAAAAATCTATTACCAATTAATAGTGAGGTATTTTCTGAAACAGGTACATTGTAGTGTGTACTAATTTGGAGACTCTCGATATCATCTCTGTGATGAATCCCTACGTCACACTTTATTTTTACATCATAGTTGCTTGGTGGACTTTCCTGTCCAGCTGCTGGACTGTCTCCACTCACTGTGCTGGGATTCATGTCCTGTGAATATATCTGTAGATTTTGTTCAATTTCTGTTTCTTTCTGGTCTACATGGACTTGTGTTTGTTTGGATACAGACAAGCTGTCCCTTCTTAGTTTGACTGCATATGTGCCATTCTGAGACGAAGGATAGTCTGTATCCTGTATAATTTCCAAATTGATCTGGTCTGAAGAAAATGTCCTGCTTATCAGACCTCCTTCGTCAAACTTGCTGGTATCTTGAGTATTCATCGGTAAATAGTGTGTTTTGCCAACCTTTGGACTCCCTCTGCCTTTATCCAGACAGCTGAATTCCTCTGTGTTCTCAGCTTCCCTGCATTCACTGGCATCGCATTTTTTCAATGTGTTTATTTGCAACTTATCCTGCAGTGCCTCACCCTGCATGGTTTCTTTGATAACGCTGCTGTCTTCCCATGAATGCATCTGTAAATCAGGTCTATGTCTCTCTTCCTCACCGTCTTGGATATTGTTCTGAAATGCTGGATGAATATGTGAGTGATATACTGACTTGTCCTCAGGTAATGGTAGCTTAGGAACACTGTGGTTTTCATCTATGGGTGAAGCCACACCATCACTAGACACTATGATCCCTGGTTCATGATTTGTGGAATTCCTACCTGCACAAGATATATAAATGTCACAGTCTGTGTGTTTACTGGTGGTGTTACCTACGGTCTTTGTGTTTTTGTTTTCAAGCAGTATGTTTTCGGATTGTAAACTGCTGGCGTCCATTGCAATATGCCGTTGACCTTCCTCTGAGTTGGGTGAACTCAAACTGGGCCACTCACTGCTTAATTGTGTGTCCTTTACATCTTGTTCCCTCTGACTTGTTTTTTCTTGGCCTTCTAAACATAAGTGGGTAGCTGGCATGGAGCTAAACGATTGTCCCTCAGTTGGTACGTTAACATATTCAGTCACTTTGTTACTATTGGGGAGTTTATTTTTAGTTGTCAGCTGACTCTCTCCATCAGTCTCCCTCATCAGTGCCTTCTTCCCATTGATCAGCAGCTCCACTGGAAAACGAATGGACTCGCTGGCGTGGGCCTCCGAATCACTCTCACCACCAGCTGAGGATGTGTCCTCTGAGAATGGCGTGCTGCGTTCTGTGCTCTGATTAGTGTCCTTCTGCGACTTCAAGGGTCCCTTTGGTGCAACACAGTCATGATATTTCTCTGTGAAGCCAGCCAGTTTCTCCCCACTTCCAGTGGCTTCTGCAGCAGGTCTGCATGTGAAATGCTCCTCAGGATCTGCCAAACTTCTTAGCCTCTCAAAGAATCTGTTTACCGCCTCCAGAGGCCTGTCCTCTTCACTGCTGGAAAGGAGGTCCTCAGGACCCCTGGGGTCACCCATGCTGATATAATTTTCCACCAGTAACCCCTCACAGTCTGGGGGGCCGTCAATGGTGCAGTCAGCATCAGTGTCCGCATCTGAGGGACAGCTATCAGCATCGTCAGCATCGCTCCCACCTGATGCCTCGGAACTGGCCATTGCTGGTGACAGAAGGTCACACTCCTCACACTCATGGAAAAAGGAATCCCAGTCAAGCTCGGAGATATGTACGCTGTAGTCAAATTCGTCCATAATGAGGGGGCATACATTAATCCCACCAGCATCTGTAAAAACTAACACAGCATTCCCACACTTTCAGCAATGGTGTAATCTCTCAGTGGAAAGCCTCTATTTGCTCAGTCTGCCCCAATCACATCTTGTATATTTTACATGCTACTACTACCTTCCACATTGTGCTTTTCCTTCAGAAGTCCTACAGTATGCAGTCACACAAAATAGAATCGTATCAATGGAAACAACTGAATAGGTACAGTATACAACACCAGTTTTTTATATTTTACGTTTGTTTGCAGCTACAAAAACTTTCTCTGACAGCAAGGCTTGCAGCCTCCAAGACCTCAGAAGAGTACAAATGATATGGATGTGGAAAGAGGCACATTACTAACAGAATACACTGAATGTACCACAGCACCATGAATAACTAAAAGCCTGTAGCTAAACATTGTAATTTTCAAATGAAGCAATTGAAGTAAAGGTCATTTGACGTTTCCACAAATGTTATGTGTGAAATTTAAATATATATTGAAATGTTAATATTTTTAATGCTTAACTCAATTTACTTACTTTACTTACTTACTAGATATTGATAAAACTACCGATTATATGATTCAAACTTTACCTACACAACTGCTCCTTGCTGAATAATATCACTGTGTATTTCCACACTGAGTATGAAATGAATATGGATGTAAAACACACAAGACACAATCCACTGAGCAAGTATGTCATAGTATCAGCATCTCAACCAGATACTGACCCAATGTAATGCATTTTTTTAATTAATCACAAATGTCATGCTAGTTAAATCCTGATCTCATTATGATTCATTGTCTAATGCTAAAAGATTTATCGCTGTTATTCTCAACACCTGTTTCCAAACATCCTACACAGCATGCTCCTGAAAGCAGGGTGCGGTTGTACCTGTCTCTGGGATTGTGGTTCTCCTCTCCCACAAGTTCTAGCACCTTAGAGCACGTAGGGTTCTCCTGCAGCCATAATCTGGATGGCCTCTGGACCCCCAGTCATACACTGAGTACTTCTGCTGTATAAATAGAGTTGCTATGTCCAACCACACGTAAATTGTGCCCTGTGACAGGGGGGTTACGTTACAGCACCTTAAAATAGAAGTCTTTTCTGGAAAGGTGTTGGTAGGAAGTCACGTATCTTCATTGTGTGGTGATTAGCTGTGTGGCTTTCAGTCAAGTCCTTATGTTCGGTTTAGGCGATGTCTACAAAATAATGTAATATAACATACCTCACATGTTGTCTCTTAACAAGCGAGAATTGCCCAGGGTGTCATATTACCTCACAAGTCAGCTGAGGCTCATGACTGCATGTTAGTCACACGATCAGGTGAGGTGTTTCAGCCAGGCTCCAGACTTTGTGGCTGTGACGTCATGGGAAAATGGAAAAGGGCGTTGCAGTGGAAGAGAGAGAATGACTGAGGAAGACAGCCATGTCCCAGATAAGAATGCACCATGAAGCGCTGGTATGACTGGCTGCTGACTGTCTGGAAAAATATACTTATAGACAATGTATATACACATACACAATTATACATATACACAATCACTTTAAAATTTAAAAGCAATCTAGAGCTAAATAAGAAACATAACTTGTGTGAGAAACGTAAGGACTGGAGTAAAACCACATAAAATTAGGGGGAACATGTTGCCCTTCAGATATAGACATGGCTAAGCCTGGAACTGAACTCATATCTCACTCAAACTTCTTTAGTACATTCATAACGTAATTTAATACAATGAACCTCAAAGGGAAATAAAAATGTTTATTGGGTTAAATTTTAGAGGCAGACATGCAAAAGTTATTTAGTTCTTGAAAGTGCTGTTCTGTTTTATTTGGATTATTTGCCTCTATGGTCAACTGTCTGTGTCAAGAGCAGTGTGGCGTCTCATCTGAGTGCATTGTTAGTAGATCCAGTTAACTCAACCATACTGGTCAAAATGCAGGCAAAGGTCAGAAACTAGCCAAAAGGAGACAAACACAAAATCACAATCACAATAACCATCCACAAGCAGGATCAGATAGGAAAGATTCCCGCAGTTCGGCAAAGAGCAAACTCAGTACCTTACTCGGCGAGTGCCATATATTACCCTTAGTCTGATCTGGGATTCTGCAGCAGGTGTGTCCAGTATTCAGGCAAGGCAGACCGTGTGGTATGGCTGCAGTGAGTCTTCTTTAATTGACAATATATACCTCAAATTGAGTTTCCTTGGGGACAAAGTATTTGGGGGTTCTGCTCACCTATGTTAAGTTGCAGGTAGTTTCCAAGTAAACACTGACATGTACAGTGACAAGCAGAAATAAAAAAATTACCTGGTTTTCTACATTAATTGTCATCAAGTGTGATCTAACCTTAATCTAAGTTACAATAATGCACAAACACAATTTAAGTTTTTTTTTTTAACACACAAATTATTAAGTTGTTCTTGAATGTATTGAATAAACAGTTCAAACATTCACAGGTATGTTGGAAAAAGTATATGAATCCCTGGGCTATAATGACTAAATGAAGTCAGGAGTCAGCAAACCTGCAGTCCAATCAATGAAATGGGATTGGAGGGGCGTGGCAGCTACTTTGACTTTTTGATATCAATAAAGGTATTATGGTGAGAGAACAAAGGGGATCCTAATGCTGTCACAATAGCAGGAGTAGCACAAGGACAATCGAAGATTCCTTTACTGATAGGGGGAGGAGATCTACTATGACCAAAAACTCTTCATTGGTAAATAATAGTCCATCAGAGTTATGCATACAGGACACCATTATCCAACCAGTATTGGTAAAACAAATAAAGTAGCTGTGTGGGATGGTTTGATTTTAGCTATGAATACTATGATTCTGTAAAATGTCACAGCTGCAGCTGTGCGACCCTGACCAGGATCAGCAGTTGCAAGAGGGATTGATTTATATACGGCTATTACGAATTTTGACCACAAGATGGCAATGCGGACCAGGATTACGTGTTGAATGACGCCCTTCAGACATTTATTTACGTAGCAGCGAAGTACAACTCAGACAGCAGGGTGAACCAGACCCTGCGGCAGTTGGGATTAAAAGCCTTGATTCTGATTGATGTCTCTGCTGCCTCTGGGATACAAAGCTGGGTCCTTTTGATCACAGACACAGCATCCTAACTATGTGAACCACACAGATTTTTCACTGGCTTGGCTTAAGATAAAAAAATGTAATAAAACCAGTGACATTAATGAGTACATGCAGCAGTAAACGTATGAGCCCAGGAGTTTCACCTGCCATTGGAAGATACTAACCCTCCCCAGGGGCCTTTCATGACTCAGGAAAAGATTAAATGCATTTCATGGCATTGAATGATTCCAGACAACCAGTTTCATCCACAAAATGACTGTGTATCATTCATGACATACATTTCATCCACACTCATTCTGGATGAAAAGAGGGGGGATGCAAATCTCGGCAGCTAAAAAACTGGACTTGCCAAACAATGCACCCCCGAGTATTATTGTTATTGTTTTTCATAAATCTTCTAATCAAATGGTGCCACCAGTACATATTTGGGGCTCTTTTGGCTTTCGATTATAAGAACATAAGAAATTTACAAACAAGAGGAGGCCATTCGCCCCATCAAGCTCGTTAATAGCTCAGAGTTGTTAAAATCTTATCTAGCTCTGATGTAAAGGAACCCGGGGTTTTAGCTTGTGCTACACTAGAAGGAAGACTATTCCATACTCTAACTACACGCTGTGTGAATAAGTGCTTCCTCAGATTCAAACCCGTTAGAATCTTATATACCTGGATCATGTCCCCCCTTAGTCTCCTTTGCTTGAGGCTAAACAGATTAAGCTCAGCTAACCTCTCCTCATAAGACATTCCTCTAAGACCAGGAATCATTCTCGTAGCCCTATATTGCACCCATTGCAATGTCCTTCTTAAGGTATGGTGACCAAACTTGCACACAATATTCTAGGTGGGGTCTTACCAAGGAATTATATAATCGTAGCATCATCCTGGGTTATTCCCTTCCTTGCACCCATGGCTTCTGGGATGGGCTCCAGAACCCAGTGACCCTTCACAGGACAAGTCAGTGTGGAAAATGGACGGAGGATACAGAGAAATCAGCACCACTTAGCTCCTAATGAGAGGAGGTTTGTATCAAGGGGAACAAGTCATGGCTTTTCTCCCTTTTGAGAGGGAACTGGCCTAAGTGTGCTGTCTACTACGGGCTGAGAGAGATTTCTTTGCCAGATTAGGCTCTTAAAGATCTAAAGTTGAACAATCTTCATGATTTTGATATTAATTAAATCAGTGTTTCTCAACCCGGACTTCAGGGACCACCAGACAATCATGTATTTGCCAGGAGCTGGGAGGGAGCTAAAATGTGGACCATCCGGGGGGTGCGTTACTAATATTCATCTTAAATTAGCATGTTTGTTACCATTACAACAGACATTCCACCTCTCCCGGAACATATGGAGAAATGGGGAACACATTTTGGGAACATGTCAGAATATTAAGTTCAGTTCTCTACCCCTGGACCTATTTGTTTCTCCACTGAAAGGCCCTTGTGGGCCATTAGTGTAAATAGCCCAAAATAGGCTTGGGTGGCATCTAACTTACCGCCATACCCTACAGCCATTATACTGAGGCACACAGTGTTTTGACAGTATTTTAAAAATCAACACTATTCTGGTCCTATAGCTGCCACCACCCGCCCCATCTGCCTCCGTGACATCAATGTGCCTAAGATGGGATGTGATACTGACACACTGAAAACAGGTAACTATAAGATTAAATGTCTGCTCTGGAGTGACAGAGCTCACTTGGTTTGCTACACTAGCGGGAAATGACACCCTCCTTGGAATTCCCACTCAGGATTTCGCATCTACTCTCCCAGAACTGTGAATAAATATGACAGGGTTTTGCTGCAACATGTATACTTGCCTAGACAAGCTGTAGAACTTTCCCACTGAGACTATGATGATGTCATTACACTCCCACCGGCATACTGTTAGTTGCCCCCCTCATTGTCTGTGATTGGCCAATGACCTGCAACGTTACATCCGAAGCACATACTGAGTTGCTGCTGTTCACTGTCTTCTGTTTTCCAGATTGAAGCTGCTAGTAATATTGTAACAGGTGATGGAGCTGTCATTAAAACAAAATTTCACTCAAGATGAAAATATATGATAGTGAATTACTTTCAGTATTTCAAGAGCAAGAAAACAGAATATTTTGGGACATTTGTCATGAACCTCCATACCTTCATCAGTGTAATATTCTTAAATTGTCCTAATTTTGATAACCCCAGTGGTTCACTGGTGCCCTCAGATATATGAAAGGTTGCATGAAAGTTTTTAGAAATGTATATTATGTCCGCAAAACCGTGTTGAAATTATTTTGCAATCATCCATCTTCCATCTGTGCTAAGCGCAGTACAGTACAGGGCTGTGCTGAGTCTGTACCAGGAAGGCCAAGCCAGTACAGTACAGGGCTATGCTGAGTCTGTACCAGGAAGGCCAAGCCAGTACAGTACAGGGCTATGCTGAGTCTGTACCAGGAAGGCCAAGCCACTTGCACTCAGATCAAGGACCTGATTCAACCCTCAAACCCTAAGGCCATGACATGACAGTTCTACCCACTTAGCCACTCATTGGGCAATTATGTTGTGTTTTAGCTAAAATTAATAAACTAAATATAAAGATCATTGGAATGGACCAGAAATAACAACATTAACAGTAACAATAAGTGACGACTGGGTCTTAATGAAACTTACATACCATAGTTTAGTGAGATGCCAGTTAATGATACTGAATAACAATCCTGTCTAAACATTCTCTCACTTGTGTGTTTGTATAGGTCTTTTGCTATTAATTCACCAGTGGGACACACATATCCTGCTGGGCCCCTTGTCGGGACTCATTTACCTGATTCAATCCCCCAGCTCCCATGGAGGGATAAAGTAAAATTCCTCATAGGTGCGAAGCCCCCCAGGCTACTGGTGACACCCCTGCCTCCCCCCACCCCTCACACTGTGAAAGTCATTCATAAATGCTCAGCAGGCAACGCCCCAAGGCCCCCTGTTTGTGTTCACCCCCCCCGAACTCCTGCCCTCCCCAAGAGACCCAAAACTTGCAGTCATGGTACTCACTATCGCCGTGATGTTTAACGAGCTGTTGTGGATGTCCAGCTTCACGTGCTAATGCCCCGTTAAAACGAAACACTGCTCTTTCTGTCTTAGTCTCACTTTGCGCTAAACCCCATTAGTGCATAAGTGTTTCTTTCAGTGTTTCTTTTAGTTTTTAGTTTC